AGAGAGGGAGAGGGAGACAGAGAATCCCAAGCAGGCTCCCCACTGTCAGCACAGAGCCCGATGCAGGGCTCGAACCCACGAACCGTGAGATCGTGACCTGAGCCAAAATCAAGAGTCAGATGCTTAACTGACTGAGCCACCCCGGCACCCCCTCCTGCGGAAAATTCTCACCTCCTCACGCCATCTCATCCCTTTTCTGCCTGGCCCATGGCCAAGGGGCCCCACAACCACATCTCACGCATCAGGTTTGCGATCTGTCTCCCCTGCTAGACTGTGAGCCCCACAAGGGGAGGGGGGGGCTTCTATGCCTCATTCCTCCTTGTGTTCTCATCACCCAGCCGCTGCTCAAGGTATCCGGGTTGAATAAATGAAACAAATCACAACAGTGATGGCAATGGACTTGAGTGACACTCGCCCCGTGCCCGGCTCAGGGCCAGGGCTGGACTCCCATATTCAGCCTTCCGCTTTCGCTTTATCCAGCCCCTTAGCCCCTGCCCCAATATTTACTTACTTGTTTTCACATCCACTGTGTGTGCACGCGTGGGAATCAATTGACACCCAAAGGACACAGTCTCATCAGGTAAAAAGGAAAACTAGTGCACTTGTCATCAAGAGAATGTGACTTAAAAATGTCTAACGATGGGGCCACCTGGGTGGCTCAGTTGGTTAAGCGTCCGACCTGCTCAGGTCATGATCTCATGGTCCATGAGTTCCAGCCCCGTGTCGGGCTCTGTGCTGACAGCTCGGAGCCTGGAGCCTGCTTCAGATTCTGTGTCTCCCTCTCTCTCTCTGTCTTACTCTCTCTCTCTCTCTCTCTCTCTCTGCCCCTCCCCCACTCATGCTCTGTTTCTCTCTCTCTCTCTCTCTCTGAAAAATAAATACTGAAAAAAATGTCCAGGGATGGGGCCCCTGGGTGGCCCAGTCGGCTAAGCATCTGACAGTTGGTTTTGGCTCAGATCATGATCTCACAGCTCGTGGGTTCTAGCCCCGCATCAGGCTCTGTGCTGACGGTGCAGAATGCTTTCTCTCAAAATAAATAAAACTTTAAATAAAAAAACATCCAGTGAAAAAGCAAGACCTTGTGCTCAGGTCCAGCTGATGCTGGGCTGTGGGTTTGCCCCGGCCCCGGGAACACAGGTATCCCCACAAGTGGGAGGCGTTAGGGCCTGTTAGCACCCCAGAGACTTCCTCAAGGCTCAGAAGGAGTAAGGGTGGAAATGAAAGTGATTCTCCCGATCAGGGGGTGGATGATTTGATGCTGGACCTCAGACCTGGCCCCCGGTTGGACGGATTTAAAAATCAGATGTGCCTGAGACGCCTGGGTGGCTTAGTGGGTTAAGTGTCCGCCTTTGGCTCAGGTCATGATCTCATGGTCCGTGGGTTTGAGCCCCGTGTCGGGTTCTGTGCTGAAAGCTCGGAGCCTGGAGCCTGCTTCGGATTCTGTGTCTCCCTCTCTCTCTGCCCCTCCCCCGCTCACACTCTGTCTCTCTTTCTCAAAAATAAATATACATTAAAATTCAGATGTGCCTGGCCTCACTGGGACTCCCAATCCAGAGCTGATGGCCTCTTTCTCAGGGGAAAGCAAATCAAGGCTAGAGCCCAGAACAAGAGGCCCTTCCTGAGCCCGGGGAAGAAAGAAACAGGAGGGGCCTGGCTTAACTAGTCATTGTTTTCTCTGCAGGGGGATGTCTTTTGGGGTAAACAGTGTCAAGAGCTTCCCCTTTTGCAGTTAGGACAGGCTTGGGCCCGGAGCCTGGCTCTGGCCCTGACTCACTGACGCATAACCCCGGGGCTGGTCACTTCCCTGGGGCCTCAGTTCCCTCCTCTGAGAAGTGGGGATAATAATAGAACCTCCTTCCTTGCCATGATGGCTTTAGGCCAAGATGGAGAGAGGAAAACTGTTTGCTTGGAACAGGGTCTTCTCTCCAGCTCTTGCTTTCCTCTCCGCAGGCTGCCTGAGGCTAAGGGATCCCTCCCAGGACGAGAGCCATCTGGAGCAAAGGGACAAGTTCTGTGAGAAGATGAGCTCCCCGTCGGAGGGGGTAGGTAAGAAAAGGCACAGTGGAGATAGAGCTGGATGCGGAGAAGCCCTGGGATTTGACCACAGACCCGGAAGTCTACTGGTCGCCGAGGCCTGACGCCGGCTTGGGGTCGGTGGGATCTGACTTAGAACCCCCAGGGGTGTCCCGGAGCCCCGGGTCCTAAACCGGGAACGGCAGTGCCAGTCGCTGACTCCTTGGTCCGCGATGTGGTCCTGAACGGAAGCGTGGCCACCACCTGGGAGCGACCACAGGATGTTCTTGGGGCGGGGGTCTGAGTCACCTTCCCTGTGATGCGTCGGCTGTGGTCTGGGAGGTGGTGAGGGAGGCATGGGCATCGGGCCCTGACCTGAGCGTGTGCGGGGTATCTTGAAGCGCCCCTGCTGCAACCCCCGGCCCCTTGTGTTAGGCACTTGTGGACAGCACTTTACAGGTGGCAGAGAGTCTCCGTGCCCTTGACTTCAGAGACTTCCGTTTTTGCAGAGGTAGAGAGAGAGAGGCTCAGAGAGGTGGGGTGAGAGGCCCAGGATCTCTCTCCTGACCTCGCTCTCCTCCTTCCTCCCTTCCTCGGCTCCAGCCTCCCTCCCCACCCTAGTCTGGCCTCTGAGCCTTGACCCTGGCTCTTCAAGATGTCACCGGGAGCACTGTGGCTTCTGCCCGTCCCCAAACCAGCTCGCCCCCATCCCCCAGCTCAAAGGCCCTCCCTTGCCTGCCTGGAGTCCAACAGCCTGGGTTCGTGTCCCAGGCCCGCCACTCCCTGGCTGTGTTACCTGGTAGACAGAAGGCGCTCAATTAAGGAAGCATCAAGCGTGAGTGTGAGATGAGCCTCCCTCCACCCCTAGTCCTGTTCCCATCCTCCTCTGAAGCCCTGAGACTGAACCATCCCAGTCTGCCAGTGCCTCACCTGGATGGGGCTGCAGCCCCTGCGGGAAGCCTCTGGGATTCCAGGATCCTTCTCTTGAATTCCTCGAGGCCAGCTGGGTCTGCCGTGAGAGGAAGGGGTCAGGTCCACCCAACTGGCCCAACCCTGGGCTAAGGATGGGCCGGCAGGGCTGAGATGGGATAAAGAGTGGAAAGGATCGCCCCCGACCCCTTCCCGGCTCTGCCTTCTGTCACTTACCGATGGGCTGGGGGTTGGGGGCAGGGCCCACAGGTCTTGGTCCAGGTATCGGCTGCGACTGTGGGAAGAGAGACAGAGGGAGGTCGGCAGAAGCCGGGACCCCCTGAACCAGAGGGCCAGGGAGGCTCCTGTTCCTTCATGCCCCGTAGTACCTGGAGCTGAGTTCCTTCCAGAGCAGGGACACCGATACCAGAGAAGGACCCTCACATCAATGGACGTCCGATCACCTGCACCCACCTGCGCTCAAGTGACTGGGGACTCCAGGGACTGGCTTCCCTCAGAAGCCCCCCAGAGACCCCACTGTGGCCTGCCTCAGTCTCCATTACTGCCTCAGTGCCAACCCAATGGATCCCAATCCATGACCCCAACTGAGCCAATCCCCCCGAACCCGAAATCCAAAGCCAGCTCTAAACTCAATCACCTAAAATCCAATCCCAACAGGAAAACAGAACCTTCCTTAGACCCAAAGCCTCATCTAAACCCAATCCTAATGACAACCTTGATCCAACCGGAACCTTACAACCAACCCTGACCCCAACCCATCCCTTAGACCTGGTTGCTATGAAAAATCTGCCCCCTAAGCCATGGCCCCAGCCCAGCCCTGGGCTCCACCATGGCTTCCCAATGCCCCACGCACCCCAACTCAACTTGAGACCCCAGACTCTCCCTGGAACCCCAAGCAACCCTACCAGCCACCCACTGACACCCTGTATTCACCCCTCACCCAATGTGAGACCCACCGGCCGCCCTGCATGCGACCCCTGACTTAACTTTTAACCTTTCTTCACAATCCGCATCCGGCACGACCCCAATTCTACCAATTCCAAGGCCAACGAAGGCTTCGATGGAACCCTAACGTTAACCCAAACCGACTCTAAACACAGCGGTCGCTAAGAACTCATCTTGACCCAAACACAAGCTCTGTCTCCACAGCAAGCCTTCCCCCAGACCTGCCTTAACCTTCAGTCTAACTCCCAACCTAAGCCATCACCCCCGCAACCTTCACCTCAGACATCTCCCGACCTTGACACCGACCCCCCCACCGTGAGTTCCCAGTTCTCCCCCCTGCACCCATTTCGAGGTCCACCCGTCCTCCAAAACTCAACCCCGCTCCTTAATCCTTTCTCAGGGTCATTCCAGACTCCAAACTCCACCCCGGTCTTATGTCATTGAATCTCTCAAGTGAGTCCTAACTAACCGGACCCAGGCTGGGAGGCTCGCCTCGAGCCCGGGTTCGGCATCGCCTCCACCAGGGCCCGCAGGCCTGACCCCCGTACAACCCGAATCCCTCCAGCCCACCTTGGCCTTGATGCAGGCGTCCAAGGTGGAGCGGCTGACGGCCAGCTGCATCTTGAGCTGCTCTGCCTCCCGCTTCTTCTCCTCCAGCTCCTTTGCCAGGCTGTCTCGCTCCTTCCGCAGAGCCGCCTTCTCCTCCAGGGCTAGCTGGGTCTGCCGGGCGCATTCGGCCTGGAGCTTGGCCTCTCGGGCCTGGGCCTCCTTCTCCGCCTTCTCCTTGGCCGCCTGAGTGGCCTGCAGGCTCCGCTCGACCTCCAGCTTCTGGCGCTGGACGTCCGAGCTCTCGCGGGCCACGCGCTCGATGCCGGCCCGCAGGCTCCGGGCCAGCTCGTCCACCTTGGTGCTCATGAGGGCGGGCATGTGGTCGCAGGTCCTCCGGATGGAGGTCAGCTCGGAGCCGAGAGGGTGGTACAGGTTGTAGCCCATGGTGTCCAGGGTGCGCGGGATGATGGAGTCCCGCCAGAGGTTCCGCAGCTCCGTCTCAAACTTGTCCTTGTCCAGCGGGAGGCAGAGGGTCTGCACCTTCTGCAGGCGATCCTCGGCCAGCTGTCGCTCCTGCCGCTGCTGCTCCCGGGCCTTGCCACACTCGGCCAGCTGCTCCTCCACCAGCCGCTTGTTCAGCGCCAGGCCCTCCTTGTCTTTGGCGCACACCTGCTTCTCCTTCGCCAGTTCCACCTCCAGCATCTTGGCCTTCTGGTTCAGTGCCAGGAGCAAGGCTACAGGTGCAGGAGAAAACACCTCGGGAAGGTCGGGGGAGGGGGCAGGGGGGGGCGGGGGGGGGTCCGAGAGGCCGGGCGA